GAGAGAGAGAGAGAGAGAGAGAGAGAGAGAGAGAGAGAGAGAGAGAGAGAGAGAGAGAGAGAGAGAGAGAGAGAGAGAGAGAGAGAGAGCTTAATGAGAGTGGCACGAATCTGATCCGTAGCTTCAGACCCAAGCTCTACACTGATTACCCCAGGCTTCCAAATCCTTTTCTTCTCACAGATGGCTCTCACTCGGGTGACTTGGTTGATTTGGCCAAGAGGTATATCTCGCTTGCAGAGATCGGTTACGAGGCAGTGACAAAACCATCAGAGTTCCGGCATCTCAGACGCGGGATCTTCTCCAAGCCATATCTTCCTACACTGTGGGAAGAGTTTTGTGCTATGATTGACTTTCGTATCTTTGGTCTTGGATGGACGTATTCTGAGCTTGCAGGACTCTTGACGAGACGTGGCTCAACGCACATGATATGACAGTCAAATGAGAGATTGAGGACAAAACTTGAGAGGGGAGTGAGGACTCTTGACGAGTGCTGGCCATGTCTATTCATCTGTACTCTCTGAGATTATTATGCTTCCTGATGATCTTGTCACAGTTCTCAAAATTCGTAAATTGGCAAACTTGATACCTGCATGGCATATTAAAATTTTATAATTATTATCTGCATGATCTTAGTTGTTCCGAATCATAATTAAAGATTCCTAAGACCGGGCACCAGTGAAGACCGTAATTAAAGGGTCCCGCTCGAAGCCGAACGCACACAACAAGAAGGGATTTACTTTATTTAATTTGTTTATTTATTGCAAAAGTCATCAAAATCCTGCGTGATGGTCTGTTGGCTTTCTGGTCACCAGAAGTGGCCTGGCTAAAAGTGCAACACCACGCGCAGGCCCATAATTGTTTTTGGCAGGAGGTCAGACCTCCCCCATGCCACCTTTGGGAACCCTGGCAGTAGGTGTACGTGCCCGTTGGTCCTCCTTTCTCCTTGGTGGTCGTCGTGTAATCCTCTTTCATATTCGTTCGCCGTCGTTCGTGTCCGCCCATCACCAGCAGCAACAGCCATCGCTCGGGCAAGAAAGAGGAGGCAACTAGAGCACGCAGCAACACACAGCAGGAGGTAGCTGGAGCAAGCAACAGGAGCGAGGAGGAATCAGCGAGCCACCCTCTCTCTCTCTCTCTATCTCTCTATCTATCTATCTATTTGTGTGTGTGTGTGTGTGTGTGTGTGTGTGTGTGTGTGTGTGTGTGTGTGTGTGTGTGTGTGT